ATGGTTTTATTCACCCAAAACGGTGGGACAGCTGTGGGATCCCACTCTTGGCTTCAGAAGCTGCAGCATTAGTTATGAAGTGGAGGTTCTGTAGGTTTTTAGGTGGCACTTGAGTACTGTTCAGCCTTTTGCAGTGTCCATGAGCAGTGACAGCCTTAATGGGAATATGTGGTGTGTAAGCATGACAGCCCTCTGTAGTCTAATTAATTTCCTACAAACTGAAAACATCTACATTCCTCTTCCAGTGGTAATAGAGCTTTTTATTAGTATTGTTTAGAAATGAGCATAACCCTGAGCTTCATTAAAACCAAATGTTTAATTGCATTCATGGGTATCAGATTTATTGATTTACTTAACTTTCCCTGTATATTGCAGCAGAATAATATATCACAGTTTCATATAATTCTGTTCTAGCCAAGTTTTACTTCAGCATCACAATTTCTCAGACAAGTATGCATTGATGGTTTATGTTGGCAGGGCCTTTGCTTCTGCTGACAAGTTGGAAAAGAAAAATCCCACTTATATTTGGAGATTTCCTAAAGCCTGTTGATTTATAAAATACAACTGGCCTTGCATTAAGTTTGGTTTTGGTTTTTCTTTTTAAGAGAAAAAAAAAATATCACATTTGACTTTATTGATGATTTGAATAGTAGAATTATTCCATCTTTTTTTTTCCCTAATTGAGAGATTCCTGGCAAGCTAAACAGCAATTAATGATGAATTAATTATTTACGTTAGGTTTAAATGTCTTTGAGATGGAGGGAGTTCTCCCATCACAGGCCATCTCATTTACACTTTCCCCAGGTGTCCATATGGCACAGAAGAGCACAGAGCAGGCAAATAATTTGGAGTTGCTCATGTTTGGAGGTGATCAGCAGCAAAATGTGATGTTTGGAGGTGATCAGCAGCAAGATGTGGATGTGGTTTATGTGGTGCTGACCACCACCAGGGTTTAAACACTGTTGAGAAGTAGAGTAAAATATGAGCTCAGGCTGAAGACCACACTGAAGCTGCTTCCAGTTGGCTTGGGGTCCACAAGCTGATGTCTGGACTTACTGTATGATATAGATTTGGGTTGTTTCCCTCCTTCTCTGCTACCAGTGATGAAAATCACAGCATGATAGGGGTGGAATTATTTCTTGTCTTTCCTGCCAGGCTCATTTGCAGGATCTTTCTGACTTCCCTGCATCTCCATGGTTTGGGACTGGGGAAAACACAGATGCCATAAAGTGGACACCTGGAGACTGAAAAATGTATACTTTATATTGGTTTTTCCCAAATTTTTATAAGCCTGGGAATTCTGGTAGCTTTTTGCCTGGTAGAAGTACTGTTAGAAATCCCACAGGTTTCAGTAACCCAAGTTCATCTTAAACAATCACCACTGCTCAAGCAATCCCAGAGCTGCCAAAATCCTTTTGTGTTTCCTTGTATAGTTTTTGGGTTGTAGTTTAATGTACTGGAAAAAAAATATAAATCTCTTATTTAACACTAATGCCTTCTGAAAAAAGGAAAAACTGCACTGCCTTGGTCTTTGCTGACTCAGGAATGTGGAGAACCTTGTTGAAGAGGAGGACACAGAAATGGAGTAGGAGTAAGAGAGGCTTTCTTGAAACACCTGACAAAAATGGAAGGAAACAGTTGCTAATGGATTTATTTTGTTTGCATCAAATTCTTGGTACTGAATGACTGGGAGGTTTTGTTCAGCTAACCCTGCCACACCAAGGAAGGAAAGAAAGAAACCATAGCTTTGGAGAAGTTACACTTTTAAGGTGCTGTGCTTGGCACTGATCAGTGGGGAAAATGCAATTGTGGGAAAATAGAATTAGTCAAAAAGAGAGAGCTGGCCAAGATAATTCATATTTGATCTTCATTATCTTATTACAGATGGTCACAAGCCAGGTGCTGATATCCTGTAGGCAGCACTCAAAGGATAAGTGTGCATTAAAAGTATATTTTTCCTTTGTGCTGAATCTGCAGATTCTTTTTCCATGGCATTGCTTCATATCCAAAGGTGGGACTGGTCTGAAAGGCTCGTGCTGTCACTGGGGATGGGGGGCTCAGTGGCAAGTTGAATTGGCTGCCCTGGCTCTGGTGTGCTTGGTTGAAAACAAAACTAATGACTCTGCTATCTGATCATTTGTCCATATCCTCTACTGCTAAATAAATTGAGGTGTAAAGAAATGGTTATTGAATTACTTGAGACAGTAGCTGGGTGTACAAGAGGTTCATTGGAAACCTGGCAGTGATTTATGGGCATGTTTTGGCTATGAACTCTTGACACCAAGATGCTGGCTTTAAAAGTTGTGCAAATCTCTGTGTTTTTTAAGCTGATGTTCTAAGCAGGATAAAGTTTAACATTAAAAATAAAACCCTTGTGTGGGTTTTGAGTTGTCAGTAAAGGGAGATGGTCAAGCTGGCCCATTTCAAGCAGTGACTAATGCACTTCTGCCTCCACTGCTGGTTCCAGCTGCCTCCAAAGTTAAATGATTAATTGCACAAGGGAAAGACAAGAATCCTTATTTGATTGTGCTGATTACAGACTTGCTGATTATCAGAATAAAGGGAATATGTTGTCCTAGATTCCTATATTCTTCAAGGGATAAGGCAGATGTGGAAATAACTTAGAGCTGCAGGGTATGAGGTTACTGAAACCAGGGGGTGACCTGCTCAGAGGTCTCTCATATGTCATGCAGGGCACAGTGTATCCTGAATGTAGCTGCAAGGGGTGCTGTGATAAATCAGTCTTGCTTTTCCCACTGTGATCCATCACACACAGATGCCTGTGTGATGGGTACAGAATGTATCTTTCCTGATTTGCCCAGGAAGCCACAAATGAATTACCAGCCCCTCATCCTTGGTTCAGATCAGTAGTGCAGGCTCCTGTAAATGCTTCTGCTCAGCTTCTAGTATCATAGGCTTACAGACCTTTTTTGTTTCTCTTGGACTTTTAAGTGTTCTAGTTAACAGTTAAATGATCATCTGTTGGCTTGGCTGACCTGATGTTAACGATGTTTTGTAGCAAAATTGTGCAGTCAGCTTGGAATTAAAATTTCAGTTCACTTGGTTTGGAGACCAAGGCTTTGAGTTTCTTCCCCACAACTCGCTAAGAGTAGAACAACTAGGGCAGACTTTTCCTAATTATTTTTGGTTTTCAATCAGTCTTCATGATGTCATTAACCTGCTTCTAGGTCCTTCCTCTTTTTTTTTTCTTTTTTTTCTTTTTTTCTTTTTTTTTTAGCTTTCTGCAGTGGGATTGTATAGAGACACGTGTCAGTCTCACAGTGGTTGTTGTATCTCACCCTGGCTGCACTGCAGACAGAAATAAAAAGGGCAGACACCTCCTCCACACCAAAAAAACACACTAATGGAACACAGAGCCAGCTTTGGGCTGGCAATGATTGCTGTGTAATAGCATCTGTGGACAGTACAGAGCAGTTTAGAGGAGTTGAGGAAGGTTGCTTTGGGCAATTAAAGGTTTCATGGAATTTCAGGTAGGTAGATTGTAGTTATTGCTGCTGAAGTTATGGCAGTGCTTAGGGATTCATGCCTTCATAATGTAAAGATAGGGAAGAAATTAGTCATGCAGTGCACTACCTGGTGTGGTGTCTAACAGCTGAATGCCTACAGCACCCTGCAAGCAAATGCTTTTCCCTAGTTTTGAACAGAAAAATGAGTTTTAAATGGGGCCTTTCTCTGGTCACTCAGTTACCCAACAAAATCTGATGTCCAGCTCAGCATCTCGGACCCCCCTGGCTGGTTGGCAGGATGTGCTCAGGGTGGCAGTTGGGTACAGAATACTCAATTACTTGCTTTTACAGTAATTTCCCCCTGAGCCCTGTCTGCATACCTACTTCATGCCCTCTTATGCTGCCCCAGTCCTGATGTACAGCAGAGAAGTCTTCTGTGATCCTCCACGTGCAATTACTATTAAGAATCCCTATGGTATTGCTGGAGAGCATCCTACTTTATGCCCTAGAGTAGCAGGAATCTTATTCCAGCCTGAACAGATCATGAACACCCACACCACACTGCCTATGTTGCTGTGCTGAGCCAAAACTGCAGCTTTATGCCCTCAGCTTCCTCAGCAGGAGGCACTGGAAAGATGCTCAACCATTTGTCATCTGTTTTACTGTAGCCACTCAGAACAACTGGGCAGAACCCTGCACAAGAACCTGAGCATGGCTGTAGGATGAGTTGGTTGCAGTTTTGGATTAGAAGGCAGCACATGAAGGACAGAACTGACCACGTGTCCTTGAGTCTTCCCCTTGTGCCTTGAAACAAGGTGTTGCTTCTGTTCCTAGACACCTCTTTGCAAACTCTAGCTCACAGCAGTGTTACAAGAGTGCTTTAATGGAGGGAAAATCTTGGAGAACCTCAGAGACCAGGAGGTATTGCTGTAAAAATGATTGTTTTGGATAGTAAAATGTGTTAAAGAAGGATCCACTACTTAATATATCTGAGCTTCATTCTCCTGCCCCCCTGTGCAATATTTAATAAGCCATTTTGATACTGCAATACCTCTTCCATCAGGCAGAATTGATGCAGGCATCAGTGCTTGATTGAAAAGGTAAACTGCAGACTGCAGATCATCGTGGAGACTTTCACCCTCAGCCTTTTCCTACAGAAGCCTTTCCCCAGGTTTTTGACCTTCAGCTTTTGCCACGGGCCCACAGAAGCACACACATCATGACTCCACTCAGGAGTGGCAATGCCTCACTGGGAGAAGGGAAAACACATTAAAAAAAACCAACTGTAGTTTTGCTCTGCAGTACAGCACTTCAGAAAAGTAACATTTTCTTTGAGCTATTGCTTTTAAAGCAGAGTGTGCTGCAGTGGCAAACACCCAGCTTTGGTGTTTGCTGCCTCACCCGACCGTGACATTGTAAATCAATGTTTTGCCTTGTCATTCTCCATCATGATTAAAACTTGGTGTAACTTTGTTGTAGACATCCGTTAGCTCTTGCAAACCGTGCCTCTTACTCTGTTCTCTTCTGTAACAGGGGAATTATTGTTTTTGAAAACAAAAGCTACATTCTGGAGCCATTAGAAGGTGCTACAAGCGAACACAAGATCTACCGAGCAGAGAATTTGAAAATAGCCCCAGGATCTTGTGGCCACCAGCTGGACATCTCTGCCATGGGACCTGGTGGCAATGACACAGCACACCATTCCCAAGCTGGCAGGGTAGGTGGATGATGCACTTTGGTGCTTCTGCTTTGCTGAGAAGGCTGCTGGTAACATTTCCTGATCACTGTCCCCTGTAACTCAATTGCAAGGAGTCTCTTTGTGTACAACATTAAACCTCCTGATTTCTGTTGCCATCCTGTTCTTAAGTGCATGCTTAAAATTAAGCATATGCTTACACAATTTGCTAAAGCTTTGTTACTTTGGCTTTTTTTGATTCTGCATGCATAACTTGCCTTTTACTTTCTTTTTGGTACTGAGACAGCACAGAAGAGCTTATGGTTTCATATTAGGGTAATATATATTTATGTTCATATATGATTATAAAAATAATTTCAGACCCCAAAAGAAAACTGAGCAATGTCTGGAAAAGTTCTTGCCCACCCAAGAAGGAAGAGAACTGAATAGCTGTGATGCTTTGCTAATATTAGATTTTGAACTTTTATGTTCTAGTAGGGAATTGTCTTATGCAGACAAAACAAATTCTCACCATATTATTTTACAGATGCATTATTGTAATTGTTTCTGTGTAGGAAGAAATGCACTTAATATGAAATGCATCTGGCTAATGGAAATTGCAGAAAATTAAATGAGCTACAAATCAGGAAGGGGAAATATTGCAGTAAGTTCATCTGCATATTGGAAGGGATGATAGAAAAGGCTGCTTTAGATGTCCAGAAATTATACAGTGACACAAATTTGCCCTCAGCATTTATTAAAATCACGTTGGGATTTATATTTACATGTGCTACCAAGCACAAGTATCAAGTAAATCAAGTAAATTGTTAAGGAAAGCAACATAAATGGCATCCCTACATATGATTTATGCAGTGGAATTAATTGATTTTATAGTTTAGGAATATTAATTATTGCAATTAATGCACTAGCATTTTTATATACCATTTTCTGACCTAAGCATGATTCTGAAAAATCTGTGTAGGCTGAAAGCCTTGGAAAAGTGCTCTTCACAACTTTGTTAAGGCTTCCCCAAAATCTTTGTGACTTGTGACTGAATTTCACTGAGGTGACCATTGTCACATGAGGCAGCTGAAACACTGGCTGCAACCAGCTGGTGCAACCAAAGACATTTTATTGTTACCCTCATGGTTCTCACATTTTGTTGATGGCTTCAGCTCCGTGCCAGAATTCACCTTAACTATCTGAAAAATACTTTTGCTGCAGTTCAGTGGACATAATTATCAAAACTGTCAGCAGTCACATCACATGGATGGGTACAATGTATACAATGAGGATTCTGGATACTCTTCTAATGTATGAATTTTGAAAACTGTCAAATGTGAGGTGTGGAGTGAATTTTGCTGTCATCGAGGGAGCAGACTGAATAAAGATGAACAGTGAAGTATGGAGGCATAAGGCTGCTCCACATTACACTGGGTGACAGAAAAAGGCAGAAATCTAGTCTCAGGTTCAGGGCACGATGAAAATTTTTGGGTTTGTGATGTGTTTTTGGGGAGCTTTTTGTTAGTTTTCCCCTGGCCCTTCCCTCAACCTCCTGCACTGGATTCTTGGCGAGCAGGGCAGAAGTGTCAGATCAATATGTCACAGAGTTAGGCTGGATTTAAATGCAGATAAATGATGGGACAAACAGCAGACTCAGCCCCCCAGATCCAAGCAGGAGAGTCACCAGGGCATGTCAGGCAATGCAGCAGAGGTGTGCAGACACGTTCTGCCCCATTGGAGCTGGGTCTCTACCAATACTGGGTCATTTCATAACTCGGTGGGCCCTCAAATTGCAGCAAGGAGTGTGTTTTCCAGTTGAGCTCCACCGAGCTGGGATGCTGCAGAAAGCAACCCTGATGTGTGAGACAGCCCCTACAGTGTGGCTTTTTCTCTGCAACCATCACAAAAAGCCATTTTGGTGGAAGACACTGGAGGCAGGTGACCCACTGGGGGCCATTCTGGAGAAAGGGAGAGGCTGCAGCATTGCCTTGTGAATCCAAACCATGTCATTCCCAGGCTGGGGAGCATGAGGAGTTGCTACACCAGTTCTGTGATAGGACCAGGTGGGGTGGAAACTGGGGAGAAAGGCAGCAGTGAGCAGAACAAAGCCTATTGTCTCACATGGTGTGTATCTATCACAGCTCTATTATTGACTCTTCATTTTAATTCTGAAGGATTTACTCAGGCAGTGGATTGTGTGCTGATGCAGTTGGCTGCAGCAAGCAAACTGAAGGAAGTCATAATTAGGTACATTTTATAAGTAAACATTGCATCCAAGGAATGCACATAGCCCCTGGGCAAATCACAGGGAGGGATTTGTTATGCCAGCCAGTGGCCAGAGGCTTACATGGTTCTGCTCTGCTAGCCAGCTTCTTTCCGGCTGACTCTCTCCACTCCAACTAGTTTTACTCTTGGTAAAAAGTAAATAGTTTAAACTGCCTGATGTAACAGAGCTCTTCTTGTGTCTTTGTGCCTGGGTTTTCCTGTCTCATCTTTTGCCCTTTGTTCAGAAGAAGATTAGAGGGACCTTGGGGGTGCATCTCTGATCGGGACCACATGGTAAATTTCAGGTTAATGTTAGTCTTTTAGTGTCTGAGAGATCAATTCCATCACAAACAACACCCACATGGTCATTTGCCTTATGTGGCACCTCCCCCGGGTCTGCTGTCATTTGCAGGGAGGCAAGTGGAGCTCTGCCAGGGCTCTGTAGGCTCCTCTGGAGACATGGCAGGCACTGTGTGTTGCACTGCTGCTGTTCCTGGAGCAGCAGGAGGGGGACACATTGCCTCCTTAGTGTCCTGGTCCCCAGTGGGCATCTCACCAGGCACTGCTGATGCTTCTTGTGGCAGCTGAGGTGTGAGCATGTGCACTGAGTCTGAGAGCACACCAGGACCCCCTGGTGGTTCCAGCTGCACCAGAACGTGGCAGAGAACCCCAATACCAGGTGAAGCTGGAAGAAGCTCTACCCGAGCTCACTGGTCAGACCCCCTAATAAGTGTGATGCTGTGGAGTGTTTGCATCAGTGAGGTTTAGTTCCTTCATGATGGCTTTTACTGCTTTCTCACTTCATCAGTACCATCCAAATGGGACTCAACTGTTCTCCAGTGATTGTTGTTTGGAGGCTGCAACACGATGTCATGTGGGTTTGAGAGTCAGAGGTCCTAAAGGTCACATCTGCCACTTTCCTCTGAACACAGTGCTTCTTGCAGAACAGTCCAAATCATTAATCTGCAGATAAAAAAGAGGAGCACTTGGGTGATGTGAAGAAAACTTTGTGCAATTTGGCTGGAAGAGGATGTCAGTACTTATTTAGCTTCTTAGGGGATGGAACGTATGGTTTTGCCTTGGAACAGTTTGTTTTGGGAAGCTTTAGTCATGATTTAGGTTACAGAGCACTAGTTTAGTTCAAGACATCGTGGTCATTAGTAGGTCACACATCTGCTTTAGCTCCTGAAGTTCTGGCAAGAAGCTCAGATATACTGCAGAGACCTCTTTTCCCTAACTGTCTGATTCCAGAGACAAGGGAGGAACGGAGGAATAGATGCTCAGCTGCTGGAAATCACAGAACTTTTACAGGAATCAATAGGTCACTTGAGTTTAGGACAGCAGAGGAGCTGTGCTGTGATTAGTTCCATTGCAAAATCATTTCATTCTCTTCAGTGAACTTTTTGCAGCTAATGATTATGATTATTTTAGACCTGCAAGTAGCATGGCAGGCTGATTTACATGAATTTACAGATAAAAAATTTAACATATGCCTTCCATTTTTAGAGTACTAGTTTGCTCTCCCAGACACTGACAGTTCATTTTGATTTTCTTTCTGCAGTTTTTGTTCCTAGGCTTTTCCTCCTACATAATTTATCATTTGACCACTTGATCTCTCTCTGCCTCACTCAATATCCCTTCATCTCTCATTTTTCCTAGTAGCCAGTTTGTCTATTGTGTGAAACATTTGCTAAAAAGTCATTTCATTGTGTCTTTAAATGTACCTTGAAAATAGCAAAAGTCTTTCTGCTAGAGATGATGTTCTCCTGGGAGGAAAGATAACTCAGACATTTCAAGTGCAGAAAGCTGGAAGGTGGAGACAAACTCTGCACCACTTTCCTGCTTGCTGTGATCAAATCCTGGGTTGTTGGGGGTTGTTGATTTTTTACATAAGTACCACATAGACTATTTCTCTGGTGGTAGATAAAAGGGGAATCTCCATGAGGAGAAGGAATACAATAAACATTTGTATGTAGTGAAATCTTTGGAAATCTGAGATGTGTCTCTTCTCTTGCATGTACTTTGTTGGACTGAGGGAGAGCTGATTCCAAGGGTCACTTATTGCAAAAACAAAATAGTATTTTCATCTCTTCTTTTTTGGCAGTACAAGAGGGAGACTCTGAAGACAATGAAGTATGTGGAGCTTGTTATTGTGGCAGACAATCGGGAGGTAAGAGACTTCACAGCTGTGGGAAGCACGGGGGGGAAACGTGTAGCTCAGTTCAGCTCCCACACTATTGCCAGTCATGGGCTTCAGACAGGGACACGGTGGCTTTCAGAAGTGGGGCTTCTTCCCTCATTAGGGCTAAGCAATGGAAAGGACTACTAAGATGGGGCAGCTCTCATAAATGGTTCTTGCAATAAGGTATTTGAGTCTTAAATAACTGGGATATTTGGCAGTAATTTAAAAAAAAACAACAAAACAAAGCAAATACAAATTCACTGCCCAGGATCTCCTTGAGCCAGTTGAGTCCTTATGGTCTTCTCTGGCTCTGTCCTTGGTGGGACCAGCACTGTTTGGAAGACCCTGTAGGATCCTGCACTGCCTTTGAAGCAGTGCTTCACCATCACACTGTGGGAAGCACGACTCCCTTCCTGATGGTTTGCAAACAGAGCTGCAGAGCAAGTAGTCAGCACTGGCTGCAGGAAAGTTCCAAGGAACTGAGTGGCCACAAAAGATTTAAACTTTTGTTTGAATTATTTTCCTACTCACATTATTATTTTTGTCCCCTTGAACACTGCTAGTTGGGGAATGACAATCACCCCTGCAAGAGCCAGAACTGCTCCTAGAACAGCCTTTTCTTTCTCACAAGACATCAGTCCCTGAAAGATCCTCGTGTAAAATCTTTTCACGAGAACCAAATTTCTGCCCCATAGCCAGTGCTTATTCCAAGGCAGACCCTGATCCCATGAAGCCAACAGGAGTCTGCTGGTGGCCTTCAGTTGCACTGTGTAATCCCCAAACCTCACCTGGATGCTGGCAGAGTCACTGGCTGTTGGGGGGAAACCATGATATTTGTACTGCTGGTGCATTGACCTTTTATATTCCAAGTTTCAGAGACAAGGCAAGGATGTGGAAAAAATCAAGCAGAGGCTGATAGAAATTGCAAACTATGTTGATAAGGTAAGAACATCAGCATTACTTCCCTTTTTTCCAAACTTACTGCACTTCCTGAAGGGTGTTGCTGTGAAATCTGTGTTTCTTCTGCCAGTAAATCAAGAAAGCTTCTAAGCTTAAAAAGTTTGCTCTCTTGAAAAGAAGAAAAGCTTGTCACAGAGGTTTGTGAATAAGAATAACTCACTCATTTCTAGTATTTCCTTTCTTACCAGGATCTCTGTCCCCAGTATGCCCTCCCAGTGCACCCACCACGCTTAGATCAGCAGCTTTCCCAGCCTTTATCCACCCACCTTTTCCAAAAGCTGCTTTCCTGATACTTCAGTAGTTCAGATCAATGCTTCCCTCCAGCCACTAGTATCATCAAAGTAAAGTTCAACCTTTCTTTTCTCCTTCAACACACCAAGCTGTGAGCTCTGCTCTGAGCAGTGCTCAGTAGTGCATGAGCTGCACAGGGGGTGCATCTACCCAGGGAAGCACAATTCCAAAGGACTTGTAGAGTTTAGGAAGTTATTAACTCATCACATAGGGAGCAGCCCATAGGAAAAGGAGTATTTTGAGGAGGAATCTGAAGAGCACAGTCCTTTGTGGCAGTAGGGGGTGGTCTGATTGTAGGGCCTGAGAAGAGACAGTCAGTAAGGTATCTAGGCCAAGGAAGATGACAGAATGAAAAATATGCTGTGCTTAAGGAAGCAGAAGTTGATTACTGAGAGCAGTAAGACAGAGACATACATTGGATTTTTTTGTATTTGAAGTAAAAAAAAAACCCACAACAACAAACAACAACCCCCCCAAGAAAACCCCCAATAAATGTTAAGAGTCCTTTACAGTGTTGTTTGGTTGGGGTGGTTTTTTTGAACAAATTAAAGTTTACTTTTGTTGTGCTGTATGGCCAGAACAAATTAGGAGTCCAGCACTAATAACTGAGGGAGTCTTAATTTAGCTGAGAACTTATCAAGTGATACTTCAAGCACAGTAACTCAAGGAGAAGCATTCTTGATTAAAAACAAGCTGCTGAAGACACTTCCACCCCTTCCATAATTGCCTTGCTGACTTATTACTGGAGGCCAGGTGTTTATACGTTACCTGCCCAAAATTAATTTCACATGTTATAATATATTTATGCTTCATGCTTAATTTATGCTCAGCAAATGCCAGTGTTATCCAAGTGCCTGTCATGCATACAAACAAGACAGAGATCTAGTGCATGCTTTTCTCAGGCTGTCAGCCAAACCTGGGCTTGATCAATTCTTGAGTCCTTCTTCCCATTAGTCTCAGGTTAGAATTGTTATCTCTGCTCCATTGCTAATGCTGCTCTGGCTCCTCTCTTGGAGGGGATTTACCACTGGGATACGAGTGTATGTAGCCCACAGTGCTGAAATCACTTGTTTGTATCTGCTGTGAGCAAGATTTGATGAGACTGGATAAATTTTCAGCTCCTGTTTTGAGCCACAGCTGTAGTTCAGTGCAGCTGCCTCCACCTCTTGAGCTGCCTGGGTGCTCAGGATGGAGGGCAGCCACGGGGAGTCATCTGCCAGAGAAGGGAAACTCAGAAGTGAAGGATACGTGAAGGTAGTTGCAGAGTTTCATCTTGAAGGAAGGTGCCAGACGTGGGTGGGACACAGAGAAGCAGCTTGTCTCTGGATCTCTTCAGCTCCTGACAGGCATTTAGTCAGGTCAGAGCTGTTTTCTGGAAGTGGTGGAAATATTTTGCCTGATTCCTGTTGGGTGTTCCCTGTTGCTCTGCAGAAGAGACCATTTAAGCCTCTTTGAGAAAGGTTCCAATGCACATTATGCTTCTGCTGAACTGTTCTACACCAGTGTGCCCTAAAATTAGAGATGTGTTTCTGTTTTTCTTATCTCATTAGTTCTACAGGCCACTCAATATCCGAGTAGCCCTGGTTGGAGTGGAAGTTTGGAATGACATGGATAAGTGCTCTATTTCTCAAGACCCTTTCACCAGCCTCCACGAGTTTCTGGACTGGAGAAAACTGAAACTACTACCTCGTAAACCCCATGACAATGCACAGCTGATAAGGTGGGCTTGACACTACATTTGGCACCAGCCAGGATTTCAGTGATTTGGGAATAGCTGGACTGAATTCCTCCCCAGCTGCTGAGGTGGTGGGAGGAACATCTGTGCCCCTGAGGGCTTGGCTTTCTCCTCTGCAAGCATCAAATGTAAAAATGTTTTGCAGGATCCTTCAGCAGGTGCTTCAGATGCATTTCCTTCCACAGCTCTGCGGTAGCCCTGCTACTTGTAGGCTTTTCCTGAATACAGCTCATGTAGAAGTGTAGAAATGTATTCAGCTGGTCAATACTCAGGGTATGAACTTACAAGCAGTTTAAACTGGTCTCAGTCTAAGTTGTTACTGAAAAGGGCAGTTCTGCTCTCACCCCAAATACAGAGCTAAGGGGGCACCATGTGAAGCCTCTCTGTTAGTAGGAAAACCTCAAAAATTAAATCATGCACGTTTTTTTACCCTGCTACTGTTTTCTGGATTAAAGTAACTGAGTAAACATGCTCAGAGTAAAAACACTTAAAAAATAAGAGAAAAACCTTTTCCTTGAAGCTGGTACAATTTCTATCAAATATTAGTTCCTTGTACTGTAACAATAAATGTGCCTGACATATTAGTAATTATAAGGAGCTCTTTAATCATTGTGTAGATATTCTGATGTTGGCTGTGTCAGGACAGAGTGAGCCCTTCCAAACTGTCCCTCACAAGACATTTTATTACTCTCCATGTATGATAGTACTTGGGAAGGATTACATTCTGGGCTGTGTATGAGGACAAGTACCATGTAAACTTCCTAGTGCATTAAAAGAACCCTTCTTTAAACTAGAGACATTTTTATGTTTGTATTTCTGTTCCTGACTTAAGTCAGGGGAAAAAAGAAAGGAAGGGAGAGTCCTGTTACAGCAGTAAACCCAAAGGGTGGTGACCAGGTTGATCTTCTCTTAGTAGGGGTGCTGTCCTTGTCAGTTTGGCAAGTCAGCATGACCAATCTGAGCTTTCCATTGTTTTCAACCTGCAAATGCCTGGAGCTGACATGTTTGAAACTGTGTCTTTGTTTGAGACTGGCAGAGATACAAGCCTGAAAAGAACAGGGAGATATTTTGGCACCGAATGGTGAGTCTGTGATTCTTCTTCTCCTGCAGTGGGGTGTACTTCCAAGGAACTACCATTGGCATGGCTCCCATCATGAGCATGTGCACTGCAGAGCAGTCTGGAGGGGTCGTCATGGTAAGTGGCAAAAGCACAGGACTTGAAACTGGCCCAACTGGTGCCACACCACCTCAGGTTTTGTTGTACTCCATCCTGTCCCGGAGCATCAGCCCCGTTTGTGCCATTTTCAATCTCAGTATTATCAACATCTTCATTCATCATGCTTGGAAATGACAGTTTCCATAGTGACAAAAATCAAAATGCTGCATCAAAATATAGCTTGGCCTCTTTGCAAGAAAATCAACTGCTAATTACCATTAAATCAGGTGCTGGGGTGCTGTGAAGGAGGAAAGCCAGAAGATATATTTGTTATGCACTTGGGTATACTCATGTGATGGGCAACAAGAGTTTATCCTGAATCTTTTCTTATATTGATTTTATTCTATATTGACAAAGTTTCATGTGTGAGGCCTGGTTTTCCATCTTCGCAGCACAGTGGTTTGTTCCATTGCCAGACAAGGAGAAAAAAAAAATCAAGGGCAACATTTATTCTACTTCACCCTCTCTCAGAAAGCATTGTTGGTAATGGTGTTGGTAGATGCTAAACATAAGTCAATATCAGCTGATTTCTGGAAGCAGTTCTGGAATATTTTCTTTCAGAGTTTATTTATTTGTTTTTAATTTTTATCTGTTTAGTGCAAAAGGAGAGGAAATAATTTTTGTGTTAACTAAGCTTTGCAACAGAAGTACTTTAAATGAAATGAGATGTGGACTCACTGAGCCCACAGGCCACTAGCAGGCTCAGCTGGTGACCTCAAAGCTCAACTCCAGAGCAGAAAGCCAGGGAGCCCTAAAAACCTCTTAGATATTCTCTGAGGTCAACCTGCAGTTGCCTAAAGCCTTTGTGTTTCCTACAGCTTTGTCCTGGCTCCCAGCACCTTGGGTGATGTGGTGGTTTCCTCCAGTTCTGCTGGACACCTCAGCTGCAGATCTCTATGGAGATGAAGCAGGAGCTCAGGAGTACACAAGGTTCAGAGTTTGCATGGTCTCAGAGCTCCCAGGTCTTCAAAGCTTCATGGGAATAACCCAGAGCTGAGACCACAAATGTTTTGACCTCAAGATAGTCCACGTAACCCCAGAGATACTGCCCCTTGGAGCCCTTGTGTTTCCTTCCTTCTTAACTAACATGCAAGCTGAGGTTGGTCCAGGGTTCCTTTGTGGTCTCCTGCACAAGTAGGCAAGAAGCCAAGCTGGGGCCATGTGTGCATTTGTGAAAGATGATGTCTAAGTGGTTCAGGCCTGGAGGATTTATGAGGTGAGCAGGGAAGCTGAGGTGCAGGAAAAGAGCAGGAGAAAGTCATGTCAAAACTGTAGAAAAGACAGAGGCTTCAGTCTCTTGGAAGCCTTAGGAGCTGAGTCTCTACTCAGTGTTTGCTACAGCTTTTCATGTGGCTCCTGGGGGGTAGGTACCAAAGAAAAGGAGGAAAAGAGGGGGGGGGAAAGTTGTAGTCAGAGATGCCCTTAATGATAACTACTTTGTCCTTTTAATTTTTAACATAAGGCTTAAAATACACTACAGTGTGTTTTACTGCAAAGTCAGTCCTCTTCACTCTGGAAACTGTCATTTTAAACAGAAACAACAAAAAATATATTTCATTCCAGTAAGGAGAAGACATGAATTAGCATTTCTTTAAAGTGCTCTCAGGGCTCTGGCAGAGGAGAGACTGATTTATCTGTCCAGGAGAAACCTAGGGTCTGTGCATGACTCCAGGGCCAGGCTGCAGCTGCAGGGCAGTGTGATGCTTCCCAGGGATTCCCACCTCAGTGAACTGAAGCTTTAGAGGTGCAAATCAACTCATGGCTTGCACAGCATAACTGGCAACACCTTCCAGCCCTTCCAGGAAACCCTCAAAAAGGAGCCAAAAGCAAAACCAGCAAACACCCCCAAACCCAAATGGGCAGCTACCCAACCTCCCCCTCCAGTTAACAAAGGCTGATTCATAGAATCCCAGACTGATTTGAATTGAAAGGGACCTTAAAGATCATCCAGTCCCACCCCCTGCACAGGCAGGGACACCTCCCACCAGCCCAGGTTGCTCCAAGCCCCATCCAACCTGCCCTTCAACACTGCCAGGGATGGGGCAGCCACAGCTTCCCTGGGCAACCTGAACCAAAGTCTCACCACCCTCACAGTGAAGAATTTCTTCCTCATATCTAATGTAAAACTATCCTCTTTCAACTTTAAGCCTTTCCACCCTCGTGTCATCCCTCCCTCCCCTTGCCCAAAGTCCCTCCCCAGCTTTTCTGAAGCCCCTTCAGGCACTGGAAGGTGCTCTAAGGTCTCCCTGGAGCCTTCTCTCCCCCAGGCTGAACACCCCAACTCCCTCAGCCTGTCTCCAGAGCAGAGCTGCTCCAGCCCTTGGATCATCTCTGGGGCCTCCTCTAGACCCACTCCAACAGCTCCATGTTGTTGTATTGGGGATCCCAGAACTGGACTCAGCACTTCATGAGGTTCTTACCAGAGCAGAGTAGAAGGAGAGGATCAAGTATATCCAAATAGGTCTTGATGTATACCCATAAACACAGAAGAAGGAGGCTCTGAATTTGGAAGATGTGCACTTGGAAGACTGAATCACTGCTGAGCAGGGATGCCACAGGGCTCAAAGGTCTCAACACTGTGCAACTGAATATTTGGCCAACTTTGTAAGCCAGACAACTTCTTACCCATCTCACCCCTAACACTTAGTATGAAAAAGCTCCCACACTCTCCAAACTGTTCTGAGAGAGGGGACAATGGAGAGATTGGATAAGAAATCACATTTGAATACAAAAACTGGAGTCATCCTTGTGTGATCTGATTTTCCTGACTGGTTTTGCAGTTACTCAGATCTGCTGTTTGATCTAAATTCCCCTGTCTTGTCTCCCTGGGAACCTGCTCCTCTCTACTTTTTTATAGGGCTGCATTGTCTCAGTGGTAGGTGACACCTTGTCCTTTACTAATTTTAAAAGAAATTCAGAGTGGGGAGAACAGATGTCTGAGTGTGAGGAGCTTCTGGTGTACTGAGAGCATTATCATTTTATTTTACTGTGAGGGTTCTGCTGTACTGTAGAAAGATCAAAGGAAAGCTGATGTTAAAGTAGGCCTTTGACACCTGATTCAGTCCTGATTCTTCTCTTTCAAGAGTTTGTCTGCTAAATTCCTGGATTTAAAAGGGAAATATTGCTGCCTTGCTGTAATGTAACCCAGTGTTCCCACCCATGCCAAACTTCTGTTGACTTCAGGAGGATGTTGAGTTAAATGGCAGGGGTGGAACTGGGGCTCTTACATTTCAGTGAATTGCTGACATGAAATAAAAGTTTGATTTGGGAAGCTTATTCCTGCAGCTGAGTGCAGCAGCATGGACAGTACCAGAGCTGGGGTGTTTGCCTGTTCTAGCTGTAGGTGCCAGTATTTTATTATTCTGATATGATCTGGGTCTCAGGGGATTGAAGCAGAGTTCAGCTGAAAGCAGCTGCATGTTTTGTGCAACAGCTTATAATGTCTTAACAGGAGATGGCTGCTTGTTCAGTGGTTGTGAAACTGTTTGGTAATTACTTTTACTGCACAAGTTAACTTTAGAAGACCCTGGTGGAATAAATCAAAGTCACATTGCTATTCATTTATTTAGTCCTTGTGATACTTAAATGGTCTCAGTATCAAATGGGACATGTCACTGTTTGTTTTGGTAATCTTCATTTATGCTGTCTTCAAATAACCTCTTTTGCTGAGACATCACATTCCTTGTTTTAAAAACCCTCTCTAGAAACTGATAAAATTACATTCCAAGTGGATCTGAGCAAGTAATGAGAACCTCATGGGCTGTAATAATTGTTTGCCTATTCAAGACCCAAATTGCATTTCAGATCATTTATTACTCTAGTTTTGGAGTGGACTGTGTGAATTATTATTTTTTCTTTTTTTCTTTTTAATTGCCAGCTTGAGAGGTATTCAAATCAATATAATCTCTGTTGAGTAAGAGAGACTGACAAAATGAAGAAGAACTGAGCTCAGTTTGTTGCCTGTCTGGGTAGCCCAAAGCCTCCAGGAGCTTGTATCTTGACCCCATAGCCCTAATTTCAAGGCATCACTCCAGTGTGCTGCCAGTAAATTAGCTGGAATCATATCATTGTTTCCTTCATCTTCAGCCCTGGATTGTTTTCCAGCTGAGTGAGAGGTTCTGCTCTTTTTATGACATGAGGTTTGATTACATTGAATTTTCTAAATATTTCATATATTGCTAGGGGTGCAAAGGTACATCAACCTGAGTGTGCCTAGGATCTAGATGAGACATCTCCAGAGTTAGGCATTGTGCAGGAGTGCTTATTTTCTTGATTATTACAGATTATTTTGCTGCATAGGTTTACTTTTGTTTTACTAGGGCTGGCTGTACCTCTTCTTTCAGCAAACAGGCATCTTAGGATATCCCTGCACACAAACTGGCTGCCGTGTTAGCCACCAGATTTTAAAATTCAGGACAGACTAAAAAGGGACCCTTGGTTAAAAGAGAAAATTCTTCTGAGTTTATTCCAAATGCAGGAGTAGTTTCTTGTTTTCAGCATGTCTGTATTCTCTTTTTGATTACGTTTTCTCTTTGAGAAATGGTTTACTAGAAATATTAGCACAGACAGATGAAAGAAGAAATAAATCTGCCCCAAGTCATGTGCTGAGGGCTTTGTTACCATACAGCTCATGTTTTAGACAGTTTTACCTTCCATTTCTATTTTTTTCTTGTCTGGAGGTTGGCTTAGATGATACTGGATGAGCTATTTAAACTGAATATATCCATATATGCTTTTAGAGCAGGCAGCTGTACATAGTAATTCCATTTACTGACTGATAAGTAGTGGATCATGCATTTGTATTCCATGCTTATGCATTTAGGGAGAGCTTTCATGTGAGTGCAGTGGAATTTTTTTACCCCTCAAGGAAAATGATGGATGTGGAAAGGTCTCTTACTTGTGGTTAAGCCAAAACATCAGTCAGATCAGCAGCTTGTAATCAGATCATGCAGTGAATTTCTCAGAAACTATTATCTCAAACATTGGCATTTAAGTCAGGATTTGTGTTAATATTCCAGTTTTGACACTTGCAACATGTAGAATATTCAAAGATGTTACCAAGAGGCCATCAAAGACGTTGACTCAGTTTGTCCTTTCACTTTAAAAAGCAAGTTTTCAAAGGTATTTACTTTTTCTTACAAAGCTTGTGAAATCTTGCATTTTCTGATCTTAAACATTCTGAAGAACAAACCAAGTGAAGTTTCTTGCTGCATTTGAAGTTTGCCTCCTTTTCCCTCCTCCCTCATTCAGAAACAATGACCCTTTCCAACGCTCCCCATCCGGGTGACTTGTCTGCCACTGCCACATGGTGGGAGTTTGGGGATTTATTGAGCAGGGAATTTCAAGCCTTAAATAAAGAGGTGGCCCAGACATTCAAAGGTGCCCAACTGTCTCCAATGCTTCATGTGCTGAGGGAACTGTGTGTCCAGGACAGACAGACTGTCCTGACATTCCCATCTGCACTTGGTACATGTCGATGAATTTAAAATTGTGTCCATTTACAGCTGGTAAATTTATAAAACATTTCAAATGACAGCCAGTGGGACTTTAGAAGGGGAATGTGTATTTTGTATTGGTTTTACGTGTTGACTTGACTAGTTCTTTTGGTGTGTTTTTTTCCAAGGATCACTCGGAAAACCCTCTTGGTGCAGCAGTCACCCTGGCTCACGAACTGGGCCACAATTTTGGAATGAATCATGACACGTTGGAGAGGGGCTGTAACTGCAAAGCATCTACTGATAAAGGGGGATGCATCATGAACCCGTCCACTGGGTGAGTGTGACTTTACAGATTGAGTGGGAAATTTTCAGCTTCCCTTTGTGCCTCAGGAACTTTTTACAGGAAAAAAGACAAACCTGTCCAATCTCCTCGCAGTTATCCCCTTTGAGCTGCAAGAATTAAATCTGTTGTCAGAGCACGACAAGGACCATTGTACCTTTCTGTTTTGTGTGACCAGTGTGAGAGACAAAAATGCCATAAGCAACTGGTCAATTTAAAGAAAAAAATAAACCAAACCAAAACTGCATTTGCAAGTGTTGAATCAAAACTTCATCTTCTCTCATTTTGCCTCAGTCATAGTAGGAAATGAGCAACGTCCCAAAGCCAAGACTGAGATGAATTTGTAGGAAATAAAGCAGTGCAGGAAATCTATTTTTAGACCCTCTGTGAAATCTTTTCTGATGCAGGGGAGGTTTTTAGTTTTTCACAAGCTTTTGCATTTCACCCCTGGTTCTAAGTGTGTAGCAGTGTCAGCTTGGGAGCGAATCAAGTCTGTGAGGTTCCCGGGGTCAGGGCTGCTCAGTGGCCAGAGGGAGATCTTCCAAGAAAAGACATGAGACATTGCAGGAAATAAAGCCAATGAACTCGTGGTCATCTCCCTGAGTCAGTGCTGAAGGGTTGTTGTGTTGGTGACACAGGCACCGTGTCACTGGAGAAGTCTGGTGTTGGTGAAGGCACAAATAAAGAAGTACAGGCACCATGAGCAAGGGAAGGAGGTTCAGCTTGTTTCTCTGTATTCTAAGTTACAGTTAGAAACTGAATGATATAATGAGTGAGTTCTCCATGTCCATATGCAGATGTGAGTGGAGAGGATTAAAATAAAGTAAGAGAGATTAGATTTTCCAAAGCTTTCTGATAGTAAGAGATGTGCTGGACTGGACTGCTGGCAGGAATGTTGCTGCCTGTGACTGGAAGCTGGTAAGAACCAGTAGGAAAAATATCTGCCAGCAGCTTCCTGTAGGTACAGCTGGATTTTCCTTAGGGTAAGGGGATGGTCTGGATGATCTTATGCTGTCTCCAACCTTCTCTGGGTGTGCTTCAACCTCATCTGACGCTTAAAAATTTCTTCTGGGAATTGTAATCTGCTTGACCTCTGCCTCTCTCAGAGACAGCATGTTTCTGGGAAAGAGGGAGAGTGATCTGGGAGAGGCCAGGGAGTGTTGGGCAGGATTGCTCCCTGCTGGTCAGCCTAACAGCAGCCTTGGCCTTTCTTCAAAGAGATGCTGTCACCCTCCTTCCAGGCAGAAAAATGGGATTCTGGCCAGAGACCAAGCACAGCAAGTTAAGAGACAAACAAAGGCGAGTTGTGTGTGTGGGAGAGAATGATTTCTAAAGTTTGGAAAAGAAAAATAGCCTGGCCCCTCTGAAACAATAGGTAGTAAATATCTGCATGGAATTGCATTCTGCAGCACGTCAGGGCTCGTGGGCACACTGTGAAATGAGCTGACCTTGGAAACAGGGCTGTGAGGTGAGGTGATGCCATAGCTGGTCAGCAGTGGGCAGACAGGGCTGGGCTCCTGCTCCTGAAAGGTGTGGGCAAGATTTAGTCATCTCAGCTGGGACACTGGCTGGGCATCCAGTTGCTCCACTCTTGGAAATCGGTGCAGGAGGAGATGCCCTCAGGACAGGAGTTTCCAGGACACTTTCTGACCTCATCCTGTGAGATTAGAAAGATCTTCCCTGGTTCTGCTTTCTGCACCTGGATCATTTGGGTATATCTGAAGCTGTTCTCTGGGCTGCTCGAGTCCAGGAACTTGGCTCTGGGTTGTCTCAGGGCAGGGTCAGACCAAGGTGCACCTCAGCTTGGTAATGCTCTCTTTGGGCTTTTACCAAACTTTATGTACAACTTGAGCCTGAGGAAGAGTTGTAGGATTCACCAAGGTGAGTAGGCTGTTTTGTTTGCAGTGATTATTGATTTATAAATGGAAATTGTAACATCAGGTTTAGAGCCTTAGGCTTTCCCCTTCATGCTGTGCTGTCAATCTGTGATTTCAGGAGAATACTTTAAGCCTGAAGCCAAACTGCATTTCACCAGTTGAAAATTAACATTTTGAATATCTACCCAACATCTGACCAATAGTAATATTCCTCTGAGCACCATTATTCAAGGCACACTGGAGAGTTTTCAGCTCTGGGAGTGGGTCTCCATTAAGGGAAGGCCAAATGAATATCCCCTACCTGGAAAGCATTCTTAGAATAAGAAAAACATGAAAACAAAGAGCATCCCAGGGAAGCCACAGAGAGAGACAGCCTGCTCTCTTAGAATTCTCATTGGGACTCACTCTGCTCTTCTAATTTCTGTTGGTTTAAGGTAGATTTAACAAGTGCAAGGCAAAAAAAAATTGAGTTATTTGGGCCGAAGCTGGTGTAAAAAGTACAAGCCCATGAGAAGTCCTTACCTGATAACTAAAAAGAATAGGAAATATCTGGGTTATAACAGAAAGGACTCTGTGAACTGAACTTTGGAGTAATTTGTGTGGTTGTGCAGTAAAGGAAAGGATTCAAGGCTTTTTACTTTGAGGCTTTTTACTTAAAAGTGATTTCATTAATTATTGCCATTTCTTTCAGTTCTTATGTTTCAGTCTTTGAAGAGGTCTTGGAAATTACTTCTTGGTGGAATAAAAATCTCTAGGGATCAGTGTGGAATTTAAACTCTCTTGGATCTGTCTTTTAATGAGCTTCCTATAGCTTTTACTCTTAAAAGATACCAGCAAGATGTGTACCATTTGTGTGAGCCACAAGTGCCTTTTGCCAAAGACCCACTGCTTTAGCAAAATACATTTTGTAAAACATGGAATTAAGCATATAAACCCCTAAAATTATGGCATTCCAGGCCTTTTAGAGATCTGATTATCTGCTGTGGGAATCATAGAAATCCCATTGGAGAAGCTTGGAAGGTTGCTATAAAAATAGTATCAATAAGGAAATATTTAATAGTAACACTTTGTTGCCTTTATTATGCATATCTTTTAATGATATTCCTGCAGTTCTTTTAGGTTGTTTTGAACATGGACAGTTACAAGTGATAAAGAAGGATATAAGGAACCTTAATGAGGTTTGCAAATCTTTTTACTGATACCACAGTGTCTGATAACTAAGGGACTAGGCTGAGCCAGCAAGGCCATTGCAGCATTCCACTTGTTTTCCAAATATCTCCCTGAAGTTTCCACTCTTAGGAGTGAAAATACTCTTCCTGACAACTAGAGAAATACAGCCCTGGTGAAACCCAAGGCATTAGTCTAGATTTATATCCCTGCAACTACAAACAGCCTCTAGCACAAACTGGAGCAAAATGATGCCAATTAGCAGTGCTTGTTCAGTTCATAATTTGGGAGCTGGGCTTTTTATGTGCTCCTTCACCAAAATGGAACACAGGCATCTCCCTGGGCATTGAAATCAGGTGAGTTCCCCCCACGTAGTTGAAAGCTTGAGAGTTCATATCTGTTTGAAACTTCTTGCCAGCCTTAAGAGAGGCAAAATGTTGATAGTTAGCCCTCAAGGGTCCCTTCACCCACATGTCTGTGTCCTTGCCAATAGCATGCTCTTCTGCTTTATATATGGGCCATTCACACAAGTAGTCATCAGGGAAATCAATCATACTATAAACATGTTCTTTCTTCCCTCTGACAGAAAGTAGTCCTTGATTCCTTCCCAATTTTCCCCCTAGCTTGGCTGTTAATGGGCACCCAGGAATCCACCAAGGACAGCTCGTTTTGCCAAGCTCATTCCCATGCTGACCCTGCTGTGGTCTCCATCTCCTTGTGGAGCCCTGTGACTTGCTGTGGTGAAAGCTTCATCCCCTGTCCTCTCTCACAAGTGTGTTGCTCTTGCCAGGATCATTAGCCATGGCTAATTAAAATGCCAGGCAGGCTCCTAGGGTAGAGCCATTTTTTTCATCTCTCTTTGCACTTCCATGGGCAGAAGCAGGTTTTGACTGTGCTGATAGACAAGGGGATGATGGGGAAAGGGAAGCTTTGCAGTCCATCCTCCAATCCCCTTCACACCTGCCTATGGGAGTGACAGAGATTTTTCTCCAGGTTTGTCCTACTGCCCACATGTCATTTCTTTTCCTATCCATGGAAGAGGTGAGATGAAATACCTCACATTGCACCCACACCAGGAAATGCAGGGTTGGGTAGAGAAACTGGCCTGTGGATCTAAACCCCAGCCTGATTTGCCCCTGTGCTGCAGTTGTTTTCTACCTCTGGTGAACTGGAATAGTGTTTTGTGGGGCTACATGATAATCCAAAGAGTGGGAATCATCCGAGTTAAAAACAAGGCATTTTTTGTGAGCAGAAGGATGTGTACTCATGAGGGTTGTTTAGTGATCTGACAGTTCAGGTGATCCCAATGCAACTGGAGTAACTGTGAGCAGCAGGATTGGGTTGGGGTGAGGAGATGCTCAGCAGCTTCTCCTGCCTTCACCAGCGAGGGCAGCACCTGGGGAGCAGCACCTGATCATTCAAGTCTGGTACACAACTTCTGTCCTTTGATGGTGCTGAAGGTCTGCTCTTCCCTCGTGTATCAGCCATTACCATTAGTGAGATTTAGGGCTGCACATCAAAAGAGGGCTGGTAGCACTGGTGCTGGTTTCATAATGAACTCATGCATATTTGCATGATAGATGGGTGGCTGGTGTCTCGTGTTGCTCCATCAGTTTGGATCTCAAAGGCTTTTGTGGGGAGCCTTGTTAGTTTGTCATCTGCTCTTGTTTGATTTTTGTTCTTAAACAGCCATACGAAAAATTATATTTAACTACATTATAAAGAAGTGGTTACATAAATAAAACATAGTTGAAAACTACTAAGACAAGCTAGGAAAGTTCTAATCATATGTATCACTTGCTGGAATAAGTTTTGCTTTCAATCATATTTCTTCTTTTTGAAAAAAGATCTTAAGGAGGCAGGATATAAGGTCACCTTGGCTTTGGTTATTCAACCTCTGAGCTGGAGTCTGCAGAGCAGGGCACTGAAAACAAATGCCCTCCAGGGATT